AGAGCTATAAAGTAGAGCTTTTTCTTTGCCTGTGAATGTCATACATTCATTTGCTGACTGGTGGATGAAGAAGGTCAGAAAAGCCAGGCGGGAGGGATAGAAAATCTCCTCAAGCATTTACAGGTCTGGGAAGTTTTAAAATCCTAAACTCCCCCTGCTAACATCGTACCTCTGAAGCTGTACCTATGGCATGAGTCCTATAGGAGACGCAGCTTTCAAGAGCCGTTCAAAATTCTACCAACAGGAGATCAACCATTCACGTGTCTGAGACTGGTATCTTGACAGGAATTGCAAATTCAATTTCCCAGTCTTGAGGGATTGGTAATTAGCGGTCATGTGCACGATGTGTACAAATAACTTAATGAGAATGATGGTTACTGTTATTATTAGCAACAACACAAACGATAATGAATTAGTGTCAAGGTTGCTGAAAATTTGTAATTATACACTGTAAAAAGCTTGCCTGTAAAACATTTCTTATAATTGCTTTTATTTTCAGTCCAATTCACGCTAAGGAACAGGGGAAAAGTTGCCATGGGAACACCTTTTAATAACCCGCCCCCTCCAAAAACAGACGGGAACAGCGTCATCTGTTGTCCATCTAGAATAACTGTCATTCAGAGACAGCTTCTCCAACACCACCCTCTACTGGCGGTATGAAGAACCACACACTATTTCACAAGATGCAACAAAAGCTGAATAATCAATCAAAAGGTCTTTTGATTGACTCATCAGTTCCGTGAGTCGAAAAAAAACTCTGAGGAAATGAACTTTAATTTCTAACGCTACCTTAACAGTTTTCTTTCCTCCTCTGTCACAGCCACAAGTCTTTAAAGGTACGTATCAAAAGAAAACAGAACTAGTGATTTACTCTGCCTGAATTGTCTACTGGAATGAAAATACCAGTCTGCTTGAATTATACTTTTGTGAACCAAACTGTGGGGGAAGTCTTGTAAAACCTTAATTTGCAGTATATAGGAATGCATTCTGCAGGAGTGCGGTGTTAGACGCTGCTCTTACAGAGGACGTATGCTTGCATAGAAATGAAAGGCAATCATCTAAATTCCACTACAATTACAGCGTGCACAGCATTAAGGCAAGGGACATCTGAGAAGGTTACAGTACTGACAGTACACACCTACTGCCCTGAACTGGCTTTAAAAGCTTTCAAGATACAGGAACAGGAGAACATTTTGAAAGGCATTGAAAGCTGATATGATCAAGACTTATATAATATCTTTTGTCCTGTTAACAGTCTCTCTAAAGGCAGAACCAATCAAGTTTATTATTCCTGTACGCACTGTATGTATATTCATATTCAGTATCCCTCATATTCAGTATCCCTCTGTTTGTAAGACCTCTGAGGTCTGCAGTGCCTATAGAATGGAAGAACCTCTGTTTTCACCACTCGCTTAAATAAGCTGGGGCCCATCACCCCCCATTCTCTCTCTGTACCCCCTAAAATCGAACCGCACACCCCAGAGCACCCACCCTCTCACGCACCAGGAACTTGGAAAAGCATCAACATCTGCCCGACTCCAGCGTGCCATTTCACAGTGCCAGTCTGAGCTGTGCTCCTGGCACCAGACTTCGGGAGGCGACAGATAAAGGGGAGGATCCAGAGAAACTCCCGGGCCACACAGACAGCAATCCAGCCCAGGAAGCCGCCCTACTGAGCCACCCAACACTCTGGAAAGGGCCCCCCAGGATACAAATGGACAGAACAACTGCACAGTGTAAACTGTGCATCGCCGAGGCGCAGTGTAGAAGATTATTATTTACTGAGATGATCCTTTTATCCAGACTTACAGTGCATTTGCACCCATTTATGTATCTGGGCATATTATTACTGGAATGATTTAAGAGTCATACTTTCCTCCAAACTACAACCTCGCAACCTTCGTTTGTCTCATTCGGGTCTCCCGTTCGTCTCCCGAAACCGCTGACACTCTACCTACATAGATGTATGCCCCAAAGCTTCTTGCGTTTTTAATCTCTTGTGTTATTGCGCTCATTTTGTTTTTACGTTTCCCATCAAGTGCTTTGACAAAGTGCGTCTTTTCAAAATTGTTATATAAAATGAAATTAGTAGTAGTAGTACTCTTATCTCACCTAGGATTCGACCCCACGACCTTCCATTTAGAAGTCCAGGAATTAATACTGGTGTAGCTTGTACCTTAGAAATGTACTGCACACATTCTGATGTACACTGGTCATCTCAGGCCCCGCAGGTGTGATCCCTGCTGGTTCCCCACAGCAACGCATTCTGAAGGTGTGCCACATTCCACTGCAGCGCTCATCATACAGGTGTGAGAATTTTACAAACACTTTTTTAACTCGTCCGTAACTCTTTCTCTTCCAAACTCTTGGTTCTTATTTTATGTTCTTCTGGAATATATTCTAACCATACCGACTCGCATTTGTCTTTGCAGTATGCATTATAGTGCAATAGTTTCTTTGAAGATAACCGCAAAAGAACACAGAACTATTGATTTACTCAACCTTAATTGCCTACTGGAATGAAAAGTCTGCTTGGGGTGCTTCGAAAGGTTATATTACACTGTCTATTGCAAGATAAAAGACAGCTGCAATGGAGAATTAGTGAAACTATCTATCAGAATATCTCTGCAAGAATCAGGAGTGCTTTCCATGATGTTAAGGTTCTTTTTGACTGTGGGGCCAATTACACCGTTCTCAGTGTGCCTTTTCTGTTTGTAAGTAATTTCATTGAAACAAAGCACATTGCCACCCAAGCAGCTCTAAACCATCAGTCAGGCTGCACAGACAAATCAACTGAACCTTATTCAAAAAAACTATAAGAAAACCATACAAAAAAAAAGATGAGCTGGTGGCTGCACCTGTCCTTTACGTCTTACATACACTGGACACTCGCTGTCTCTCATCCTGGTTTCTCACTTTTCTCTCTCCTGCCCTCTGGTAAGCGTTATAGGAGCATTGAGGCCCATACCTCCAGATTCAGAGACAGCTTCTTCCCACGAGCTGTCGGATTACTGAATTCTACCTCTACCACTGACTCACCCTGATGTGTTTCGCTTGCGCCCCGCTTGTGCTGAGTTTTATTTAGGTTGAGTGTTATTTCCGTTTGTTGTTGTTGCTGCTGTTTTCCTGTGTTTGAGATGGGAGTTTCCTTATTCTCTTTGTATTGGAGCATAAATGTGTACAGTATACGCATGTAAATAAGCATTTCACTGCACTTGCTCACAACAAATAAACCAAACCCTGAACTCTGTTTCCATCACCTGCAATGCCGAGCAAACGTTGAGAATGGGAAAGAGAACCAGATAACAGTCACCCACTTTATGCCCAATGTTGTCAGATGTTAGAAGCTGTAGGAAGCTGGAACCTCTAAAGAAAACCAGGCTCCTGCTGGAAGTGGTGTTGTAGACCAGTAGGTGGCGCTCTGGGCCTGATATTCCTAACCAAGTGGTGCGGGAAGTACCATCCTTCAGATAGGACACTAAGCTGGCATCTTGGTTAGAGTAGGGGGTGTTAAATACAGTGCCCTACATTAAGTTGAAGTTTCTTCAAGTTTCCCTTTCAGTTACCTGATGAAGCGTTCTCTCAGCCTTATCAGTGCAGATAAAAAAAAGCTCAAATTTGCATTCACCCATTATTCTTTCTTCAAGTGTGCTCCCTTCTCCCCTGCTGCAGTTGAGGCTTAATTATAATAGTGACAGCTGCACAGCAAAATACAATTTCCCCAGCTACAGTGCTCATCCAGCCATGCACCTCTGCACAGGGAAAATCTCTATATATAGGGCCCATCCTGTACTTCTGACTGCTCCTTTATCCCTAGTGCATTACACAATGTACCAGACAGCCTTAGCTGATGGACTGTAGCTCTACTATGGGCGGTGCAGAACTTTGCAGTAGCCCTGGTTATCAAACAGGCTGTCGCCAACATGAACACAAATAGGAAATGACCTTCATATCTCGCAGAGTCAAGTTACCCCATTATGGGACAGACTGGCACATTGCAAAGGAATAGATTATTTTCAAACTGGTCAAACTGAACTTTTATCTGACCTGACATGGATCAGATCAGGGTGGTGAAATCCTAGTATAGGCTTGTAAGGTTCTGTTCTTGATTGTAATATTATAAAGCGACTTTAACTTGAGGTACGTGGTTTAGAGAGAGCAGCTCAGGTGCCACAATTTCTGCTGACATAAAGCAAGCCAGGTTCTGTGTACTTTAAATTGCATAAAGCCCCTGACTTGTTGTCCACACAGTTAATTAAAACTAGGATCTGAATTTTGCACAAAAAAAATAAGACCAACAGCAGAGCGCTATTTTTGCATTCCGTTAAAGCTGAACAGGGCCAACCAGAGGGCACAGCACTCACTGCGCGAGACACAGCAAAGTTTTTATCAATGGTACATTTTTTCCCCGTCCTGTGTGATATACAGTAGGGTCTCAATATCAACAGGGGTTCAGGGCAGAGATCCTTTGAGAATAGCCACATTCGCATATAACCAAGTCTGCTCCTACACCACTGCATAATGTAGTACAGTAAATAGTGGTTACAAGACATTCCTTTATACAGGATGATAATATGTGATAATTAATGTACTGATGCAATGGCTTTAAGTTAATTTAAATAATGAAAAAAATGAACGGTAATTAAACTTACACAAACTTTCAGTAATCAGCTAAAATAACAAAATTCCCTCCTCTGCGTTCCTGCAGCTGCCTGCACCCTCTCTCTGCCTTACCAGCTATTCCCTGCTCTGTGATTAACACGCCCCACTATAATGAAAAGGGCAATAAAGCCGTCAGTGAGCTTGTAAAGTCGTCTCCAGTGTGTTACTCCCCACACTGTTGACACAGAACCTGGAGTCAGTTACAATGGTGGGTACCTGGGCAGGTGGTGGGGAGAAGCTCACTCACTAGCTAGATTTGTCTCGTGATCCTGCTCTGTTGCGCTTAATGACCTGTAGCTCTGCTCCTCTTCCATCCAAGGCCGGACTGAATCGCTTACCTCCACGAACACGAAGCAGGGCACGATGGAGCTGCTGCTCTTCACGTCCTGCCTCTCCTTGCCCGCCATCTTCCGCCCGTCCCACCTGCCGATCTCGTTACGGTCCTGAAACGAACGACAGTACACATCAACGGAGAGATTTTAACCCCCAGCAGCGGGAAGGCAGCCCCAGTCCCCTGCAAGCCAAAAGACGTTCGGATTAAGTCAGGCTTTTTAAAGTTTTGTTGTTGTTTTTTTAACATGCTGCAGAGGAAGGTCCGTTTTATTGCCCTCAGTTTACAACCAAAAGAAGGGGTGAAAAAGAATCAAGGTCCTTCAAGTGATCTGGTCACTCTTCAATAGAGGGATCCCCAGTCCTGGTCCTTATTGACTTCATTGGACCAGTTTACACAGCTCCTCAGATGCTTGTGCTCTCAGGAGACCTGGGACACCTGCCTTCACAGCTGGTCCTCTAGGAACAGGATTGGGGATCTGTACGAAGGGGTCATGCTGCCTACACAGGGGCTACCTGCAACACTGTAATAACAATTGCAATCCTTTCTGACAGTTTTATCAAAAGACCTCACATAAGTGTTCATAATATTGTCAAAGAACACACTGCAGAATGCCTTAGAATTAAGGACTAGAGCTATAGTTAGAGCTCAGGGGTAGGGCTTGAGTTCAGAAAACGTATGCAGCCCATTACACATTTTGGGAAAAACAAAAACAATTGGAATTCATATGTACTGTCGCCTCGCTCGGTGAGAGGATTGCACAGGCTTAATAAAGCTGTATTCCCTTGAAAAAATGATAGGTGTTTCACAGAGCATCTGAACACAAAGTCCATACACTGAAAAGCACACACACATTAGGGTTTTTGCAGATGGCGAAGTGTGTCCCCAGCCACAAACATTTCCATCCCAAAACTGGTTAGTGTGCATAATTTTGTATACAGTGCTCAGTATTGCTTCATTAGAGGCGGACTACTTTCAGACAGCATTTTTACCATAATTGCATACACCCATCAATCTGCTTTTCAGTTTACAGCAAATCAGCGCTTGCTCTTGAGCGTGGCTGCAGGAAAAGAGGCTGCCTGACATGGGAGTTGGAGAATTCGTGACCTAGAGAAATAAAACAAGATCAGTTTATGTGTTTTAGATCAGTCGCATACTTATGTTTCAGACATGATGAAATGTGTACAATCAAGGCAAATAAACGTTACCTGTATTTATCACAATGGACGCTTTTGGGGTCACCGGTTAATGAAGTCAGGGGAGTCACTGTATGCCAGAAACATGCAGTATGAAGGAGAGGGAGCCCCCTGGGCGACTAACCCATATCCACTCGAGTGAACACTACCATTTGGAGAATCTCTGCTATGGCAGTTGACGTGACCCAGTCTGACATTTTAGGAAGGATCCTAACCAGTATGAGATGTAGTCTGTCCAGTCAAATCCACAACAGGACTCTTCTATATACACGTTTCCCCCTGGGCTTTCCCAAGAACAGCAAGATTAAGGTCTTTAAAGTTATGTAACAAGGTAACTTGCCATGTTCTAGCTGACAGCCTTCTAGATACGGCTGGATGAGACCCTCACATTGATTAATGCGTTGTCCTAGCAACCAGCAAGATGGACATTATATGTAAAAGTTCCCGGCAGCTTATGCTCTTACGCCACTGGCAGGTGGTGGAAAATACAGTCGGCAGTAACGAGAAATGGAGCCGGGCCTGTTGCGTGGCCCTGAAGCAAGATAAGGCAGGACTGAGCAAAATCTCGACATGAGTTCTCAAGGGGAATGAGTGCGCGTAGCCGCCACTCCTTGAGGAAAGACGTGTGTTTGGATGAGCTCGGTAAAAGCCTGTTTAGGGGCAGCGCTTTCAGAACACTCAAAACAGTCAGAAAGCTTTCAGCTACAAGAAACTTTGACACGTCCCCCCCCCCCGAAATCGAGAGCAGAGGATGAACTGAATAAGACATGAGTTTGAGCTTTTAGCAAGATGGGAAAGAGATGTATTTATAACCCTCCCTGTAAGTGTCTGAAGACGACCCGTCCTAATGCTAGTCATTAATCCCTCTAACCCAGGTTCAATATTTAAAGCTTTTTGAATTTAAATAAATTTGGGAAGTATTTTCCACTTTTTGGGGGGCATTTACACTTAACCAGTTCACCAACCTTCCTAACTCTGAAGAGGCCCTGGCCACTCTCGTTTCCCAGATACTCACCCGCCCCCCACACTTCCGAAAATATCACGTTGCTCTCCTCACTTCATCCCTGGAGCTGGAATTCACAACCCGAGGATGTTAACACATGAGGAAATGGGAAGAAATCAAAGGGAGATATTTCTGAAGCTTGCGGATAACCCTGGAGATGTTCTTTCACCAGTCTCTTGCTCACTTGCACGCACTCAAAAGGCTAAAGCCGACATGCCACAGTCACCCACCTCCGGGGCTCAGCTGTAAGGGGAAGGACTTAAATGTCAAACATTTCCCAGAATCTTCCAAGGCCACTTCTAACGGTTACATAGGTCGAATCCAGATTCTATGTTTGGAAACTCGATGACATCTCAGAGGCTGGTTTCAGACGGATCTACATGCAATATAGGTCACTGAAGCAGCAGAGAGACTGTCAGCAAGAAGCAGTTTGACTGCTTCACTGACCCCTGACACTGTTGCAAGCCAGTAAAGATGGTGGCGGGGAGGTTACAATAGATAAGGAGGGATACCTGTGAGAAGCAGAGGCCTGACGTCTTAGTAATGACATTTCGGTGTTTCTTGGAAATAAAGTCTGGAAGACCTATGACTCATATTCTGCAACTCCGTACCGTGTCCGTCATTTTTGCGTTCACTGGACCGGGGGAAAATAAGTAAACAAGATCAGCACCGCGGATCTCTGACACACTGCTGCCCCCAGTTGACCCAGGAAGTTCTGTGCTATATGTTGCCAGTCCTTGGACTCACCCACCAACAACAAGAGTCAGTGTCCGAACACAAGAATCCCACAGCTCTCAGACCCCAACAGGTCTGACAAAGGCTGGAGAAGGTGAGCCTGCCAGGAAAGGGACCCTTGGCCTTTCTTACCACAGCAGTAGCACTATTTCATGTAGGAGTGGGGGTCTGATTCCTAGCGCTCTCCGTCTGATGCCCGGAAAACGGGACCACACATCCTCTCTCTCTCTGGCCTTGCGGTGAAGGAATGCCATGTGCGAATCCCACTGAACCAGCTGATCCACGTGTGTTTTCACCAGCTGCAGGCTCCTACATGAGCCAATGTCAGGTTCTGAATTCTTCAATTCATTTAATAACCCCTTTGAAAAAAAAAAACAATTTTCATGGGCCTGTAAAGTGAAAAAAAAGGCTACACAATCCCTGCTTCATCAGTACAAGTGGCACAGAAAGGCTTGAGGCTCTAAAAAGATGTTTTGAAGCACACAATGGGACCTGGGGTGAAAGCTGCAGTCCTGTGAAGAGCTCTGCACAGCAGGTCACAGGATATCAATCCCTTAACACCTGGATTACTCAAGATCTGCACCCCTAAAATCAAATCTCTAATTCTCTTCAACATTCCAGAAAAATAGTCAAAAAAGAAAAAAAAAACAACAACTTTCCAATTTTCATTGTGCACATTTCCGACAATCACGGGCCATTGCAATTGTAATAACTGAAAGTCTCGGCACAGTATGCCAGGTTTTAAGTCTGAATTTTAATTGTGTGGGCTAATGTGCAGTTCCCAAACTTGGTCTGGGGCTCAGACCTGTTAGACAGCCATGGTCCAGGAAACCAGTGGGTTTGCTTAACCTCCAGAGCTAACTGATGCCTCTAAATCGAGCTGCTTGCTTGTTTAGATGCTTGGTTCACTTGTACTTTGGTCTAGGATTTCAAATATACCCAGAATAACAGATGATCAGTGCATGAAGAACATACAAGTGGGAATGACACCCCCACACTGAGCAGAGGTCCAGCTGGTTCCATTTCAGGCAACAGACCTGAATCAGTGCAGTTCTGAAAAAACCCAAAACGGGCACAGGGTTGAGAGTTACAAATCGCAACCGACGATTTAAGAACCAAAAGCACAATTTCTAAATGTCCCAATTAGAAAACTGAAATCAATTAGCCTGAGATTAAGAAGTCAGCTGGAGAAAAGTAGCAGAACTGGGAAGCACTGCTTTAAAGGAAGTGCAAGGGTCTGTTATAACTAATTCCTTGGGTTTGGCACCATAAATCAGATTAGGAAATTAATTAGCCCAGTTAAGTAACCTAGGGCCCAGATGGTACAAAACCATTTCCTGACTCACAAAGAGAAATCAACAGTTCTCGGTGGATTGAGGTCGGTTAGACTGTGAAGTATCTTGAGACCTTTCTGTTGCTATATGGGTCACTGTAGAAAGGCAAGAAGAGTATCTTATTATGCTCATGTGTGCTTTAAAACGAAGAACCCCTCAACCATGGAGTTATTTCCTTATTTCATGTTCCATTTGCATTTCAAATCCTGAGCCAGCTGGGGCACAGAAATAGCAAAATAATTGGACAACTGTCACAGTGGGAAGAATGGATTTTGACCCAGATTGCTCCATTTAGTATGGTTTAATCTTTATAGTACGGCAGTCTTACAGCTTGAGATAGAGTCTTTATTTTCCCCAAGGGGCAACGAAGAGATGTGAAAATCATGCGAAAATCTTGCCTCCTTTAATGGTTTCCTTCTTCTTATATCATCCAACTGTTAGCAACAGCTTAGAATCTTTAGAAAAGAGTTTAGCTGTTTCAATTAAGTCTTAATTGGCCAATTAAGGTATTCTTTAACTCAAAGAGACCAAGAAAACACTCTGGCCTACTGCCCTTCTAGACTGGAGTTGGGGAACCCAGTATTAACATGTATATAAAAGGATGGGCAGATGAGCTACAATACAGGAGTTTTGTAGGTCACCTCTAAATCATCAGTTACTAAAGTAAAGTCTCTTAGACAAGCAATCAACTTTAAGTGTTTTTTTTTTATTTGTTTGCTAATCTGAGCAAAACCTTACATTCTTGCAAAGAACCTACAAGTACCGCTGGATTGTGGTTCTCTGGTATCAGGATCAGATGCTCCTGGAATATAGAACCTGCCACAGAGGAGAGGGGAGACAGTACTGTCCATCCATTTTGGTGCAGTTGACATAATCCCCCCATCAAACCGCTTCTTCAAGGATGTACTACTTCGCAAACGTGCTCGAGTTTGCTCCAAGCATCCACCACTCTTTGTGTAAGCGAGGGGGCTTGTGTAAAGAAGACACACTTTCAGTTAACCTGTGTTCGCGCACCACAGTCCCTGTATCCTTGTCAAGCCTGAAGCGGGAGCATCCATAACCAGCAGTACCCATGAGGCCCAGTGATCACAACAATTCCCAGCGCTCTCCCAACATACTGACCTCCCAGGCTCTATTTCATCTGGAAAGGGAAAACGCTTTCAATCGACCTTGGACGAGCACACCCCTGGTGTCGTCAATGGGAAAAATCAAGAAACACGAAGAAGTGTTTGACACTCGATAACTGGGAGACCAGTCCGATCGACTGACCGATCGGGCTAAGAATGCGAAGGAGGCGTCCGTATGTAGTTCAGATCAGTCCACAGCACGAGACGCTTTCACAAGGGAGCGAACTAGGGCAGGAGAATAAATATAGCTCTGCTGCACGACCCAGACCAGCTCCTGCTTGTTTCCATTGAGCTTGGCGCATCAGACCAAAATAAATGAACTCAAACCTTCACATACAGATGCGCACTGTGTCAGTTCCTTGCATCCTGCTTTGGGGGGGGGGGGGTTGAGCACTCAGATGATAAGGGTTGGTTTTCTTTCTTAAAAAACAAAAATCAGATTTCACTGTGCATTGAATCTGCTCCCCAAGCTCACGCTGTATGGATCTAGGACCGGTGCAGCTCTGCGCCCCACTCACAGCGTCCGGCTGACCCTCCAGTCCTGGAGACACAAACAGGCGGGTTGGGGCCTGCGATGATCCCTGCCCCCTTAGAACTCATTTACCATCTGAAGCCATATGTGCACTTGTCACTCCACTTTACTTCGGCTACAGCCCCCCAACGGGAAAGAAACGCTAATTAGTCTCTGCAATCTGTTTCCACAAACGGTACAGTGCATAGCTATTTCCCCTACCCACACGCAGCCTCTCAAGTCCTTTTCCAGCCTATATCTGTCCCAATCAGGCAAACGAGCCGGCACTTTCTTTGAGTCCCCTACCGACTGCTACATGTGGGCTACAGTGCCATGCAATAGCCAAGACAACGGAACGAAAGCTTTCAGTTTCTGGGCAAATAATTATTGTTCAACAATTAGTTGTTGTTTTTTTCTACTGCGGGGCAGCGAATGGATCGCAGAACGGATTCTCGTTGCATCTTGTTGCCATCATTCGGGATCTCTCCCTGCCTTTCTTTGTGCTGCGTTACCCAAAGGAGACCACAAGCCCTCTCAGTCTCAAAGAGAGCAACCTGCAGCGTTGCACCGTACAAAGACAGCCCCACAAACCACTGTCCCAGCTCCCCCCACCCGGCAACAGGACACTTCTAACTCTCATTCGGGGTAAAAACAGAGACAGCGTTTAAAATGGGATTTCCTTGCAGAGTAATTAGATTCGCAGGCCAGGGGAATTGTCCCAGCTGCGGGTCTCTGGCACAACAGGGGCTGGAGAAGCATGGTGTCAAGCTCCTGCAGGTCTCCAGATCAATAAGGCAACCCTGCCCCCCGTAAAAAAGCAAAACACACAAAATCACAGCAGCATCCCGCTTGACAACTGTCATGCAAGCCTATTGCCGTGAGCAAAGATCCTTTGCAACCTACCTTAGCCTTCAGCCTTGCAGCTTTGTGCGCTGAATTCCTATGGAGAAGCCATGTCAGATGAGAAGAAGAAAGAAAAATAGCCTTTTACACCACTCTTCTGCACTGCCTTTCTCAAAGCAAGAAAAAAACAAACAAACAAACAAACCAATTAGCTTCTTTGATTTATCTATACTGCTCTCTTGCCAGGGCTCCGGCAAACCCAGACGACACAGACAAAAGAGTACAGTCCGAGCTTTGCCTCGTGCAAGGAGTCTCGTTCTTTTCTTCTCTCTCTCTTTTTTAAACAGCAGCTAGGCTAATTAATTAAGTGGCTGAAATTACCAGCTTCAGTGCTTTCCAATACAGCTGCTGAGAGGAAGAAGGGGAGAGAGGCAGTGAGAGAGAGGGAGCGACTGTATGTGTGTCAGGGATGAGGGAAGGGAGAGAGAGTGAGAGAGAGGGAGACTGGCTCAGCCTCATTGTTATTCTAAGCAGGTCCTGCCAGCGAAGGCTTGTAAAAAAAATGACACACAGCTAAACGTGCTGGCTGTGCTCAGGTGCGTATCAGTCACCCAGGGGTGCAAAGCACTGCCTCAGGCACGGACCTAACGCACGCTCTGTTACATTTTATATACGTTGCATTTATTTCCTTTTTTTTTTAACCAATTTTTAGGTTTTTCGGTCCCCCCAGCTTACTGTAACGATCTCTTTGTAGGACAGCACAAAGCTTGAGGCTGGCAGGTCTGATAATAATCGTGAAGTTTATTAATATGGGCCACAAGTGTGAAGATTCGGAATAAGAAAGAGCCTGAAATTTTGTGCAATAAGCACATGGAAAGATCAGCGCCTCCGATTTGTCAGAAAGGACACTGACTTCTGCAAATGGAAAAACACAGTAAAAGACCGGTAACAGGCTGTGGTGTTTTCTTTATCCTTCTCGTCCAATCCCATCTGCTGGAGAAAGTGTTTGTAAAATGGGCACAGAAAGGTTGCACAGAAGAACTGAATCCATTTCAGGGAGAGGGTGGCCTTACAACTGGGTTTAGGATCCGTGTAGCAGAAGAGAAAAATACATTTGTCGTACACCTCTACTTGCAAGATCTTCCTTCCCGTCTCTCCAGCGCTTTTGATTTTGGAAAGTTTTTTCACCTTTCACTGGAAAAAAAAATGTGTTTGGCTCAAGTCTCAAACTCCGAGACGGCAGATCCCTCCTCTTACAGGCGCTCCGGCTCTTTCACGTTTTGCTGATTCTGTGCAGCTGCCCTCAATCTTGCCCCTCCTTATTTTATCCAGGCACTCTTGCTACTCCCGGCTCTGCATTGGAAGACGGACGCCCAGAGACCCCCCTACCATCAAGTCGCCCTACGTCTGCAGCTTGAGGGCACCCTGCTGGGTCCGGGGCTCGGAGTGCCTGGCCTCGTCATCCTGTTTTTATTTCCCTGTTCCTGTACCGGATTTTAACTGTTTTCGTCGCGGATGGATCACTCGGATTAGGACATTGGACTTTGCCCTGGATTTCCCCCCTGGACTCCCTCGGACTTGTCTGCCACGGCTACGCCCCCCGAGCACCTGTTCACTGTCGTCACACCCCCCTGTTTGTCAACCTGCCCTGTTCCTCGTCGTCTCCTCCCCGTTGTCCTACTCCACTCACTTCCGGATTATACCGTCTGCATAGGGTCCAGAACTATACTTCGTTAAACCGCACAGTCAAGTAACCCCCCTCCCCCCCACACCCCTCGAGAGAACCCGGACTGGCACACATTTGTGCTGAGCCGCTGAGTCTAAGTGGAAGTACCCAGCCTTGGCATATTAAAACGAGCACATCTTCCGAAGCACAGCAGAACCAGTTGCGAGACTGTGTGCCAGGGAAACCAGATGTGTCAGTTCTGCTTTGTGCTTGATGAGGTGCTACACAGAAGCTATCTGTAATTCAAGTCTACCTGTGCACAACTTTAACAGTCGGTTACACAATCGTGCAAAACTGGAGGTGTACAGCCCAGAATTCTGATTTAAGCCCGCAGAATAAGCCAGCTCTTTGGTCTTTGCTGTTTGATTCGAGCTAGAGGCCAGGTGAGTAAAAGCACAGGAAGTGTCCGGCTGTGCCTCTCGTGGTGGAGGAGAGGTAGGGATTGGAAGGTGTGGTGTGGCCTTGTTGAGATTCGGTCTAATCCCAGCAGGTGCACTAGGGACAAGCAGGACTATAGAGACGAGGTGTGGCCAGTGTGGCTCCCCAGTGTCAGCTCTGCACAGTCCCCCAGCCTGTGACTGAAACTGAGTAACTGAGCAAGTCAACCCCCCCCTCACTCCCCGAGGGACCAGGCAGCCCCACTCCCCCACCTCGGGCTGGAGCATTCAGGGACGGTATCCGGGCCCAGGTGAGATCCTCGGATTCCACACGGAGCAGAGCCGACAGCCGGGAGCGCCGAGTTGTCTTGACAACAGACGGGTAGATGACGAGGGCGGAGAACGAGAGCCAAAAAAAAGAGCGAAGAACAAAATGGAGAGAAGCCAAAATGAAACCAAAGGAAGAGGGAAAAGGTTGGGGGAGGCGGAGAGGGGAGGTCACTGCTGAGGACCTGCAGGCAGTATGCTGTGCTGTGCCTGGGAAGAGCCAGACGGGAATCTACTCTCTTCGACGGTGGTGGGCTGGACTGTATGTGTGGCAGAGGAGGAGAGGGGGTGGGGGGCTGCATTTCTGGTTACCGTAGTAACCCCTAGGATGCAGCGATGGCAATTCAGAGCTGCGCCCGGCGGTACATAGCTGTGCTGAGCCCCCAGGACACCCGGCACCGCGAGGCCCACAGCAGCACCCCCATGGAGCGCCCCGGAGCAGGAGGGAAAAATAGGGAATCTGCAGGGGATTCCTTACGGAAAGGAAAACAAAAGTTCACTGGGGGTAATGTCTGGCAAAGTTCCATTTGGTTGCAGGCAAAAATCGCGATGTGACAGCTGGCTTCCAGGCAGGGCCCAGGGCATGGGGAGGTGGGAATCCCCACAGGGAGTGAAAACCCATGCAAACTGGCACAGGAAATTGCACAATTGCAAAGCTGCTTAAAGCAGCCATATCACCCTGCAACTCACAGCTGGCAGTCCACTGTAGCTCAGCAGGTGTGAGCCTGGTCAGTACCTGGATGGGAGACTACCTGTGAAAAACTAGGTGTTAGTGGGGCCAGCCTGTGCCCCAGTATAGTGATGGGGACACTATACTGTAAAACAGTGCTGTCCTTCAGATGAGACATAAAACCGAGGTCCTGACTCTCTGTGGTCATTAAGAATCCCAGGGTGTTTCTCGAAAAGAGTAGGGGTGTTACACCGGTGTTCTGGCCAAATTTCCCATTGGCCCTTACCAATCATGGCCTCTTAATAATCCCCATTTATGAATTGGCTTCATCACTCTGCTCTCCTCCCCACTGACAGCTGGCGTGTGATGAGTGTACTGGCGTTCTATGGCTGCTGTCACATCATCCAGGTGGGGCTGCGCAGTGGTGGTGGTGGAGGGGAGTCCCCATTACCTGTGAAGAACTTTGAGTGGAGTGTCCAGAAAAGCGCTCTATATATGTAAGCAATTATTATTACTATTAAAGGGAGCAAGAGCATCTGTTGGACAGAATTACAACTGCCACAATTATCATCACCGCCAGGCGGTAACAGGAAGACGTTCGAATGAGAAACTGCGTCACAGTGTGAGCTGCGAAGGCGAGAACTGACTGTGAAGCAGAGACTCTAAGACAGCTGTCTACATTAAAAATGATTTTGCTAAATGTTTAATACCATTGTTAAAAGCTGTTAAGGGAGGTTATTCACAAATGCCATTTTAGGCTCCTTTTGCACTTAAAACAAATGGTGTGAGGAGCACTGAGATATAAATTCCTTCTAATTTTGGGAGCTCTACAGCAACAGAGTTGAAAAAGTCACTTCAATCTGAAAATGAAAATCAGATTTATACAGTACCTCCCTTCCTCGTTTCGTTTCAAGAGTGTGTCAAAGGGATTACACAGACCCCTGTGTCCACAGTGGCATAATCTCTAGGCACTCTCCCCAGATTCAGATGAGACTCCCTCTTATATTTCATGCCCCTGCAAATCTAATCGGACAAAACGCTGTGTGCATACATGTAGATATCATGAACTAGATAAGTATATTTACACATGTGCTGTTAAACATCAGTTGAAGCTTCTTGGTTTTTTAAGTTACATCATTTAGGCTGGGGGTGCCTGGACTGCATCCGGGAGGGCTGCTGTATCAGCAGAATGCCACTTCAGCTCAGCGCTTAATGGTCCAGTTGAACTAATTATGGGATTATTTGGAGCTGCCAAACAGCTGTAACACTCAGAATCAGGTCTTCTAGCAACCTGTCTGCCTCCAGATCTCCCTGGATGGTATTGCTGACTGTACACTGAAGCTTGATGCACTGTGACAGACAGATGCTGTGATGACACCCTCTGGGTTGGCTTATTCGCCATCCCAGCATCCAACAGCACCCAACAGAGCAGAATCAAACAGACTGGCTGCAGGCGGCCAGAAATGGCCTCACCTGCCTTGAGTCTCTATGTGCACTGCTGCAGCTGTGCAGGATAATACTGCCCACGCTGCCAGGAGAGCATCTCTGACCCCTCTGACCTTCCCAGCTAAAGCCTGCCAACTTGATTCAGTGTGTTGTGCAGCAACATGATGAGCAGACCAGAAATCTTTCTGCCCAGAGACACAATTTTTAGAAAAGAGCTTGCAACTGTTGTAGGAAGATGACCGCAGTGGAAGTCAGGCCACAATTTCAAGCTTCACCATATTTATTGGCTTTGCCATCTCGTTGTGAAATAACACTGTAGGGTGAATAACGCTTGTAGGGTGGCATCTGTCTGTAACCGTGGGATGACATTAAAACAGCTACTGTCGGGCCTGTAGCCTGTAGTGTAAGAATAATTAACACAGGGTATGACTAATTACAACCATTAAGAAAACATCAGACTCTTCTTCTAATCTTGGCAGGTTCACACGTACTGTACAATTTCTTTCTGCTGCAGGAAAATAATTACACGTGATCATACAGATGTTTGCAGTGGTGTAACACGGTAGATGCAGAGTAAAAGTAAAGAAATCAAGTCAAAGTAGGAAGAGAACTAATTAACCACAGGACGAACTGCAACAGCCCACACCAAAGCAAATGATCTATGTGTAACGAACAGTTCTTTCCGGACCCTATGCGGACGACACAGTCCGACGGAGTGGGGAAACACTGGGGAAACGTCATGCAGGAAAACGGGGCTGAAGACAGGGGGGCGTGTCCAAGGTGCGCTGGTGCACGTGGGAGGTGTGGCCGAGACAAAAAATCCAAAAGAGAAGTCCTTAGAGTATCCGAAAACACATGAGTAAGTCCAAAACCAGGAGATCCATCAGAACAACGAATTAAAAACCACGAAGGCCGGACCGGAA